ACGGTAAGGAGAGATTCAGGACTGACCTGTCTACATGATCAATGATACTGTAATAGAACGAGGACGCTATGCAAGTTGGTATTAGAAAGAAGATCAAACAAGTAGCTGTAAGAAAACCAATATAGTGATGAGCTGCTTCAGAGGATTCTGCCACAGTCGCATCAAAATCACCCTGAAAATCAAGAATACATGAATATGTCTAATTTGTTATCACAAAAAGTAGACGAGTTACTCGATAGTTTTGTGTGATTTACCTGTCGCCAATCCAGTGAACAGAATTTGTTAGCATGAAAAGTACTGTATTTACCGTATCCAGTTACGGGTACAGCACTCCATATAGCAGCCGCAACAATGATAATACTGATCACCTTCATGTAATTAGCATGACAACGCCATTTACCTAAAAATAAGCGTTTACAAGGATGATGTTTCTTTTATAGGAAGAACCCTTTAAACTAACTAACCCTAACTTATCTACCGCTGGAAATGTTTTCCTACCAAGAACACTTTCGCACTATAACTTGCGTTATTGCCAACGGTTTGAGTAGCTGTTTTAAACAAATGAGGATATAGGGCCAAAAATTAGTTACGGTATTTTCAGCGCCTATTAGAACTTAGCGGCAGACACAAAGAAACTTCATGCCTTGTTGTTGTTAGTAAATCTTTTAAATCTGTTCCAAAATTTGTTCTCTTTACTGCTTTTCTCGCTGTTCTCCTCTTTATAAAGCCTCAAAGGCATTTCAAAGATATGAAAAAACCTTTTTTTTTCAGTGTTTTCGCACATCCACAATTAATTTTGTTGCATTTTCTCCAATTTTTGGAGCAACTCCAACATATACTGAGCTTATTGTTCAATCTAATAAACAATGCATAAATTGACTTTTTTCTATCCAATTATGGGCATATAAAACCAGAAGGGCGGAGTAACATATCCTTACAGTACTTCTTCAATAAATTTCATAAAATAAGGAAAAGTCTGTCCTTTCGAGAAACTATAAAACGCACAAATTACTTGCAGTCCTTTTTCAATTCTGCCAGAATTGCTAAGTTGACGAGAATGTTGTTTACTTTACTAATTCGATTCAGGGCGATTTACGTCAGAAATCGGATAATGAAATTTCCATAAATCTAGTTCTGTTAA